TTTTTTTATTATTTAGTTTTGTTAGTTTTAGTTTAAACTTAGTTTATTAAGAAGAAAAAGATGCAATCAGTGGAACGGGAATTTTATCTTCCTAACGTTTCGCATTCTCTCGAGAACCCTTAATCATAGGCAACCATAGTATATAGTGAGACGTGTTTAGATTGGGGTGATACATGCACGGATTGCGCGGTATTTGTAGTTTTTAGCGGTCATCCACATGCGTACCATTATTATAAGCTCCTTTAACCACTGCTTGGGGTCGTAACTGGTGCGATGAAGGCATGGCAGTTCGCTTTCGAGTCATTAATTGCCGCCATTTAATTTTCCATGTCGGATCCGGGTCTAATAGTCGTGCGACAAGTATGTTCGCTGTCGTCGGAATTGTTGCTGAGCCCGGTCTTTTCCACGTAACTGACTCTCCTGCATAGGCAATGTCACAGTACGCAGTATGGAAATGGCACATCGTTGAGCTTGTTGATTCACTGTGAGCCTGAGAACCATGACTCGAGCAGCTCACGGGTCACGCGATTTTCACCTCTGGCGAGGATCTCGGCTTCGTTAAACTTGAAAATATGGGAAGGTTCCGTCAAGGGAGCCGCAACCTGGGAGCAAACGTGTTTCTTCCCGATTGTCACTGCGTGCTCGGCCGTTCCTGTTATCGACCTGCTTAGGCAGTCAACTTGCTGTCCCGTATTGATGGATTCCATAGGAGTGGCAAAGTTGGGCTTGTAATATCGATCCAAGTGTGATTAAACTCACGGTGTGAAGCGCGACATTCGTAGCTCAAGTAGGTAGAGCGTTGGCTTGCGTAGAAGGCCTTCCCTCCTATGCGGGCTTGAATCCCGCCGAATGCCGCGAGTTTTTCCACAATTGGGTCAACTAGATTCAAATACATTTTAAGACATTTTACCGGTAGGCAGGGACTTTCAGTAAGGCCTTTTCTGGCTTATTTGCCGTCGTCAGCTGGAGATAGTCTACTCCAGTGTAGCAGCGGAAATTGCCGCCACACTCTAGTTTCGAACCCGCGTCTCTCTGGTCAGAGGCAAACGCCCTAACCATTGAGCTAATGGGCTCGAAATCTTGCCGGTTGTTGATCGGCGTACACCGATCAGTAGCAGGGCAGAGGACATCGGAAACCATGATGGGTGTGCCCTGTAGCTGATCGGTGTACGCCAATCTATTAATCAACTATATTTTTCTACTTTAAATTTATTTCTACAAATGTCCTTCACTGTCTATCCTAGTTCCCCATCCCCAAAACCCCTCTAACCACCCTTTCCGTAGGGAAAAATGCTGCGTCTAGGGATATATGAGGTGCACTGTCGACATTTCTAACCTGAACTCGATTGGAAGGCTGAAAAGGCCTTAGCTTGCCTCGTTATACACACACACCGTTTGGCCATCTTTATAAATGACTGTCCACCATGTGTCTCGCACCGTGACGAACACAGAAATGGCGACTGGCACGTGAATTAGTTTAAATTTTTGGGTAGACTTGCGGCGCCTCAATCACACCCAGTGCCTCAGTTAAACAGTAAGGATCGCGCGCAGTGACTAACAAAGCCACACAACTCGTCTACGTCTACCATACACGATCTAGCACTC